TCTCTTTTCACTATAAAGTCTTTCATGTTTTTATGTACAATGTAATTTAATCGAGACGCAAACTTTTAAAGATCTTGAATTAACTCTTTACATTGAAAAGTAACTTTGTGTTGGTGAGAACGTGTTTAAATTTTTTTTGGTGTTTCTTTCTTATAACATTTAAATTAGTTTACAATAAAAAGACGTACATTTCACAATCACACCAAGTCGATAGTATGGGACATGACATAAAGCCGGTGGTATGGGGCATGACATAAAGTCGGTGGTATGGGGCAGGAGATAAGATTAGGTGTAATAGGACGTCACATAAAAGTAGGTGTTACGGGGCATGAGATGAAACCAGTAGTATGGGGCATGAGATAAAACTATGTGGAATGGGGCATGATATTAAATTCAGTGGTATGGGGCATGAAATAAAAGCCGATGGTATGGGTCGTAAGATAAAAGTAGTTGTTTTGGGATATAACTCTGTTCACAATCTCTGCTCTCAGCAGGGATTAATCTGTCAATATCACCACTTGCTTTGTTTTATAATATAACAAAGCAAGTGGTGATCTTGACAGATTAAGATGAGAAGCATCGTAATGAGCTAACCGCTTAAGCTGATGATAGGTGTTGTGAAATGATTTTATGGTCTTTATCTTTCATGAACAAACACAATATAACCGTGTTTGCAATTACCTACTACATGTATATGCTTCTTTTTGTTGCTCCCCAGTGATCTTACGTTTAAAGATTTCCATATTTATAACAATGCACTGTTTTTAATGGAACAGAAAAAAATATGTAATAACTTTATGCATTGTAATAAGTTAAAAATAAATAGAATAACGGCATGAAATTCTTTAAAACTGGCTTTGTTTGGTATACCAGAAAAACATTTTAAACTAACAAACGTTCTACTCATCAAGAGATTACACGAAGAGACACGATTTATAGCTTAAAATCACACTCAACTTTAACATTCATGAATGTGCAGCTAAAAATATGAATGTTTCCAAATAAATATCTGATTTCTGAAGAACACATTCTACAAATAGTTCACTTTTATTTATTATACATGTACTTTAATGTCATTGATGGTGTAACGTTTTTAAGGCACACAAACCCTGTCGGTGAAAAGCTAGCTCACCACCGAGAGTGGTCTGTGTCCTTATATACGGGAACTATTCCCTTCTGTTAATTCAACAACTTATGTATTTGCATATTATCGTGCTCATTATGACGTTCTACCAACGTCGTTACATTACTTTCCCCTCCGAGAAGTCTCGTCCCGAGACTTGGCCTGGGAAATCTGTGGGTAGGGCAACTCCGGTCTGGCAGTTGTCTACATCCCCCCACACTGGCCACCAAATGTAACGTTTTTAAGGCACACAAACCCTGTCGGTGAAAAGCTAGCTCACCACCGAGAGTGGTCTGTGTCCTTATATACGGGAACTATTCCCTTCTGTTAATTCAACAACTTAAGTATTTGCATATTATCGTGCTCATTATGACGTTCTACCAACGTCGTTACAATGGCAGCAAGAAGTTCACAGGTATGGGTTAGTTATTTGCATTGGGAACAAGTCATGAAGGTAGTGGTTAAGTTATGTGGTTTATAGGCGGTATTCTACGCGCATCATCTAAATTCATTAACACACCCACATTATCATCATCACTTAATTATGAATATGAAGATAGTTGCGGTATTTATAATTTATTGTGGCTAAAATAAAGCACACTTTATCATTTCATACACAGAACGTTGTAAAGGTGACCTATGATAGGATGAAAATAAAAACAAACATACAATATAACATACTCTCCTATGAAAAATTTGCCATTTGGCACAAGTTAATATGTATCGAAAGCCATTTCCTATCTGAACGTTTTTGTTTGGAAAACGCTTAATGTTGATATATGGCATGTGCAGGCGATTATTATTATTTTCAAGATATTGAACAAGTTGATGACTGATAACATTTGTAGATATTTGTGTAACACTGATGTAAATGAAATTACGAGGTTGTCTTATACCGGTATGTATTGAAAACTTGAGAATAAGAATGTTCAAAGCCAACTTATTTGTAGAACGTCTACCAAAACTTGTATCCCAAGTTTTTATGACAATTCAGGAAAATTAGGGCCTCCACATTCTATAAGAAAACAATATAATGAATATATACTCGTATAATAAATTTTCAATCATCCCAAGGAATATTTCTAATTATTTTTATGTCAAATCTGTTTCGTATTCATCGATCGGAGAGCTGCTTTACCGGCTAACTCGGGCCCTTCATGCAAATATTTACTTGAATACGCTTCTAATTGTTATTAGCAAAACTGAAACAAATATTATAGTTTATTATAAATAATTTTATTTTTATATTAGAAACTATAAAATGGTTTTTACAAACCAAATTTAACCCGCACGGAAAACGATGATTTCCCTTACAGTTTTTCCCAAAAAATTTTTTACAAATTTAACCCAAATAAAAGACAAACATTTATACAGTCTGTCATTTGTTAGGGCATTAATTTTTTTATTATTTATTTAAAGGTTTATTATTTTATTTTTATTAAATTTTTCCTTTTTATTTTTAAACCCTTTTAATTTTTTTTTAAAAATTTTTTTTCCCCACTGGTAACTTTCTTTTTGGGGGGTGGTACTGGAAATTTTTTTTCGAAAATTTTTCTCATAAAAATTTTTTTAAAAAAATCTTTAAAACTTTTAAAAAAATTAATTGACAATCAACGTTAAATGGCGATGATTATTTATTTCATTTTATTAAAAAAATTATGAATGATCGCTTGTTTTAATAATAAAAACAAACAATTATAGTAGGAGAAAAGTCCCAACCCATCCATCCATATTTCTGTTACTTACTTCGAATTTTTATTTTAAATTAAGCGGCCAGCCATTTATAAAGGTGTTGTATTTCCACGGGGAGGAAAATAAATTGGTGTTCGAAATTTAAGAGGGATATCATTTGGATTTGTTAGTCATACACCTTTTTTAAAAAGAAAGAAAACTCATTTGAGGATTGTAACATACACAGAAGTGTGAACATTCTAAAAAACGGCTAGGAAATTGGAAAAATCTTGGTAAAAGTTGAAAGGCTGCCTAAGCGAAAACGCTGGGTTGTTTTTTCTTATTCTTCGGGCTGACGGCTGTCATTGCTTTTCACGTTTTCATAAAGCATATGCAGTTATTGCTCGTAGGATACTTAAATATGCCCAAATGTCATCAAGAGCAGTTTTGCATGTGGAAGGAATGTATTTTTTTCAGACTGTTAAAATGAAACAAACAAAAAATAGAGACGCTATTAGGTGATTGGTAATTTGAATGCATAGAAATAAGTTTTCTTCTTTTTATTACTTTTGACATTTAAGTTATTTATCAATTTCAGCTTTGCTTTTCTCTGAACAGCCTGACATTGTCAGAATTGTCAGCAAAAATGAAATTGAGGTACCACATGGGGAAAATCTTAAGAAAGTAGTTTCGGCATTGAAACGTATGAAATTATATCTTGATAATTTCCACTGTGAAATTATCAAATATAATTTTCACGGATAAATCAGTAATCCACTGAAAAGCATACAATAAATGCAAATATTGCCATTTTAAAACGAAACTATTGAAACTAGGTTGGATATTATATAAATTATTAATTCAAATTAGCAACATTTGAGTCTTGTATCTTATGAACAATGGCATTGTGTCAGGATTTGATTTAATCAAGATGGCGGCATATTAATATCAGCACACATTTTACATAAGGTATAAGAAGTGGTTTTCTGATGAATTATGTCACTCTCATTTATTTTATTTTGTACCTCTACTGTCATGAGTGTTGTATGCGACAATTTTAAACGGTTTAAAAAAATATGTAGTTATTATATTCTTAGTTAAAATGATACAACCAATACGTATGTTACCGAAATTACTATTAAGAGTCATATCAGATTTACAGCTGGTTAATGTCTTAGAAAAATAATGAAATGTACCTTATTTGAATTATTCACGTTACTTAAAAAAACATGAAAATTACAATAACATTATTAATTTCTTACACAATTTTTTACTTTGACATTACATGTAAGTAAAACTAATATATATAAATACATTTTTGGGTTAACTAAAACCCAAAAAAAGGGTTTTTTAATAATTAAATTTATAGTTTTTGGCATTTTGGAAAACTTTTCCATATTTTAATTTTTTTTGTGTATATTTTAGTTTGTTTTCATTTGGTTTTAAATTTTTTTTTGATATTTTTTTAATAAGGTACTCCCGGATAAAACTTAGGGGCTGTTTAAATTTTTGACAAATTTTTTTAAAATTTCCAGTAAGGGGATTGCAACCCATTGAATCACCCCCTATGGGTTTTACCCCCGCAAAAAAACAGCCCTTTTTTTGGGCACTCTGTGGACGGGGGATCCCCGCAAACTTTTCCCCGCAGCTTTTGGGTAGGGTTTTTAAATTTCCCCAGACAAACAAAGAAAAAAGAAACCCTTTTTTTTTTCTCCTTTTATTTTTTTCGTTTTTTTTTTGGGAAACTTGGAAAAAAATTTAAAATTGAAAATTACTTTTTTTTAATTATTTAAAGTTTTAAAGAAAAATTTTTTAAGCATTATTTTAAAATTTAAAATAAAAGTGCTGAAAGGGCTGGGGGATTTAATATCAATTTTAGTACGGGAAAAGCTTAGAAAAATTATAAGTCATTATAATTTGGAGGGAGAAAACGAAGACATACCAGCATATTGGTCTGCTTTAGTTGAACTTTCAGCAGTATAAATACCTCTACCAAACATTGATGTTGCATTGCCCACTCTCAATCCATTCTTAATAAAGGGGAATTTAACATTTTCCATTTTTGGGTTTCCGGGGAAACAAATAGTTTTTTTAATATCTTTTGCATATATTCCCACTGGGTTTAAAACTGGGAAACATTATTTTTGTTTCATTTTACGGGCTTTTTTAGGGTTCTTTCCCCCCATCCTGCAAAGTTCTTAACACTTCAAGCGGGTGCTCGTTTTATTTCCTTTTGTTTTCCCTTTGCAACACTTGTTTTTTTCCTAGCGTAATTTTTTATACAGATGTATTTTTTTTCTTTTTTCTTTTCAACATTTTGGGCAACCCTTTTTTCTGACTGGGAATTTTCATAGACCTTTTCTCCCTCAGAAACCCTGCCCCACAAATTGGGCTTAAACCCCGTAAGCCAAATGTTTGGGAAAGTCAAATTTTTAAGGTTTTTTTGTCCAAAGTAAACACGAAGAGAACCTCTTGAATTAGATCTTTGTGACCAGTAGCTAGGTGCATCACTGTTGTTGTCGCATTCCAATGTTCTTGGTACCGAAAATACTGAAAGTAAACACTGGAATTACTTTGTTATATATCTTCAATATCCAATGAAAAGGAGGCAAGTATTCACAATACTTAACTTACGAGCAAAATACAAAACTGCCAAAATGAACTTACGTCTTGCTCTTCTCCTGTCGGGGGCTCTTGATTTAGCTTCTCTCTCGAAACACTAAAATAATGTATACATGAGACACTTTAAACAAAATGAATTATTTACCAGTAGTTTAAAATACAATAAAGACAATCTTAATGAAAATTATAGTTATATTATGGAATAATTTCGTTGACAAATTGTATAAAACAAATAAAATGGTCTAAAAGCACCATTCAATACAAAGACTTTCAACTAGTTTTTTTTAGATTTTTGTTGGGGAAAGTGAACAAGTTAAACTGAAAATAAAGATATGAATACGAGATGTGGTTCCGTTAAAGATATATCATGCTCAAATTTGATATTTGAAAAACTGATAATTACTATGCAGTCCCTATTGAAATGTTAAATAAACATCTTTTGAATATACACATAGAAAATATGTTATGTTTAAAGTCTTCACACTACAGGTAATCACAATATGATTTAAAAAAAACTGGCCTTTTTTAAATGAATAGACCAAATGAATTTGACAAATAATAGGGCGTGCAACTTTCCAAACATAGTTTATACATTCACTTATTCAAATTAGACATATTCAGGAACAATTAAGTAGAATTCAATAATTTTTTTGGAATAAAAGTATTTTACCCAAAGATGAGCATAGTATATCTTTAAGCAAATGTTAAGAAATAAAGTTTTAGGTACTAGTATATGTAAGTCAAACATAATTATGTAATGTTGTAAATGATGTGAAAGACTTACTGAATATGTACGATGATCCTTATAGTATATTATAATGTTTACAAACTTCAAAGATGTAGATGTGTTTCGATTACTAAAGTCTTCAATGCATTGGAATGTGGTTTGTGCCACATTAACGGCGGGATATTTCAACAACCCAGTACCTAGTGCAGGGAACGCTATCGAACTATATCCTCTATCACAAGCCAACTGTAAACACTTCTCAATAATCGTCTCCAGATCCTTCAATACATTTATATTCAGTCACTCAGATCGCATTTATAGGTGTACAATATTATAGTTTTCAGATTGGTAACGGAAATTGTTATCTTAAGAGACGATGCCGACAGGAAAGAATCAGTCATTGAAATCTGTTAACAATTTAATATGAAAATAGGCAAAACCAATGAACGGCGAAGTCGGTTAAAAATCGTTCATTTTTCCGTATTAAAGGAGTCATTCGGTAATTCATACACCACTTCCGTTTTCACTCGGAACACTCGAAGATTATTATTCTTCCGGAAAGTTGCGACTGTTCTGTTATCAGAATAGCCCGCCTATCATCATTGAGTTGAATTGAAAATGGCGGCGCCCGAATAGAACAGACACTGAAAATTGATAGGTATAGAATTCTTTATATTCCTTAATTGCTTTTTATTTGATTTCCTTTAAATGTACACGTGTACTCTATAGCCGGGCAAGCCAAAGTCCGGGCCCGCTTCGCGGACCCGGCCATTGACTTCCCCGTATAAAGATTTATTCATATTATACTCACCTGTAAAGGATTTCCCTTTCCCCATGGTTGAAGAGCAACAAAGACAAGTTGTTGACATGGAAGTTGTCCCGCGTTCACAACGGCTATATCATTATGTTGTATACCATCAGGATAATCATCGTTACAATCTTGCTGAACCTGACTCCCTGCAGCTCTCATTAAGTCACGTGCCACTCTTCCTTTTGAAAGGTTAAGGTCAGGACTTGCAGCGCATACTATAATATCAGACTGAAATATAAAAGTGTCTCTTATGTAATAATTAGCGGCATGGCATAAATTTGACTAAAATACATGAGATAATATGCTCGCTATGTATTGTAAATCAGCTTGAGGAAAGTCACTTGTAACAGAACGACCTTTATGTATTATTACTGTTGTTATAGCAATTATTATCCTTTAGATCAAAAGATGTTTTATGTGTTGTTGCCAACAAGTTATTTAAACAGAACTTCGTTTATCTATTATAAATCAAACAGAACTGTTTTTACCTTCTCTAATTTTAGATCTCCTTTAAGCACACATGCATTTATTTCTAACCTTCCGAGAGGCACCTTTTTACGCATGTTTCTATATTTCTTTATTGTTTTGCTCTAGTTGATGTGTCTGAAAATATTAAGATTATGTATCTAATCGTGGAATTTCGAAAAAGACCAATATACAAATGACCCCCTAACATAAATGTACCATATACCACGCATGCAAAGTAAATCAGACATCACTGCGTACATGTGTGCACCATACACCCGTGACTTTACTTCAAACATTGCGAATATCAATATTCAAGAAAATTGCTAGCCGGTGTGCTTTGCCAATCGCATCTTCTCGGCCCTTTCCGTCAAACTTCGGATAAGATCGACCACAGGACAAAGCACCATACGGCGCGTTGCCGGACTTTCGTCTTGTCGTCCTGTCGCTAACGATTGACGCTAATGGAGCGTCGTCGTGCGGCGTGTTGTCGCGGGGTCACATTGTCGCTCGGTTCAAATCGAAGGATTGGCTTATAAGCCAAGCAACACGGCGACATCGCAACAACGCGTCGCGCGACAATGCGCCGTTTGGCGTGCCTCGCTAGAGACAGGACGAAAAGGCGATAACGATATAGGAAGCGTTGTCGCTATCGACAACGCAACGCGCAGTGTACCAAATCAGCCACCATACAGAACAACCTACGCTTAGAAACTGAAGGGCCCTATCGGGTATATTTAACCTTTAGAAAAGCTGAAATAATATTATTATAAGTATTTTATGTAAGAACACTGCTTTAAATAATTTAAAAGTTATTTACCATTTGAAAAACAAAACATAGTCAGGTATCTCTATTGTAATCAAGATGTTTAACTTTTTCAGCAAGAGATTAAATCAAGGAAATTTATCACTTTATCTGTATGACGATAAAACAAACGCAATAATAAGTCTACACCCAAAATTTAGTATTGCACGATCATTTAGGTCCCTTAAAATATAATAATTTTTGAAGTGCGCTTTATGTCAATATTAGAGAATATTTTTTTTTACAATAATGAATTATTCCTGAACTTTACTCTTTCAAATTGAATCCGATTTATTTAAGTTATATCATTAAACAGTTAGAATAATGCCTTACAAGTCCGGCTCGATTTGACTAGCATAGAAAATGTTTTTAGTGTTTAAGTAGATGAAATGATGTAGAAATGATGACTGGTGGATTTCACCATGTTGCCCATGAACAAAGTCCGAGAAAACAAGATGGCGCCCAAGATGGCGGAAGTTGGTGAAAATAGCTTAAGATTTTGAGGCTAAACATTGTGTTTACTAAGTTTTAAAGGTTTATCCTTAATAAAATCCACATGTGGTGGTTTTAATTGAAATTTTAAGGTAATTCAAACCTTGACTTTTTAAAAAAAAATGAAGATCGTAAGATCTTTTTTGAAAATGTCTGCAGGTCAAGATACTCATAATTTATGATAAATCTATTTAAATTCACATTAAATAAAATGTAAAATGTGAACTTCCGGCGTTTGCAGCATGTGATCTCCCAATTTAAGGCATTATTGGATACAATTTTATCACTCTTTCAGTTGAAAAAAAACAACATATAAAATCGCTGTAATTAAACTCCATCTAGCCTCGTTTCATTTTTCGAATACAAAAAAATCCATATCAATTTCCTATAGTGCTCTTTATGTTCAGCGTCCAAAAATTCCATATCAAATCTTTTTTGTACTCAAAGTAACAAAGTTCTGTCTAGATGTCAAAAAATGGTGTTGTGAAATCTTATGTATGACATTTTGTAGCCAAAATTTTAATAATGTCATCTCTTGACATTGTTTTCAATCACATCATATTTGAAATACCCGGGGTGTGCTCAACTTATTTCCAGGTGTGTACATGAATAGAAATAATTGTCATGATAAATACGACTACTCAATCAGGCCTCGACACTATCTTTTTTATCAGGTGGTAAGCCGGACCACTAGATTTGAAATTAAGGTGGTCCTTCCAGAAGTCAAGTGGTCAATTATTATTATTATTATATCAGTTTAAAAAAGTATGCTTAAAATTGATGACAAAGATGTATTATTAACCTTTAAAGAAAACAGACATTTTAGATATAATATTTTTATCTAAAAAATTAAGGACAGCAAGTTAGTAAGTATTCTGTCGTGAAGTTATTTTTTTTTTCATAGCTCATTCAAAAATACACAACAGGGCTCTTATTCGAGTTAACTTTTCTCCCTCAACTCAAGTTAGGGAATAGTGAAACCATTTGTGTCTGGGTTTTTTTCTTACTGATATTCAATTATTCATTATGATATCATACGTGGTATGTCTTATAATCATGATAATTACATGTATCTTTTATAGATTAACATTTTTAATAAAAACTAATAAATTAATATGTAAATGATAAAAAATAAAAACAACTTTATATATAACTATAGTTTAGCTTATTTTTCTCACAGATTTATTATGAATACAGTATTTTTACCGCCCTGTTGCTTGTTGGTTGATATTTAATTTTTACAATGAGTATTTTTAACCTTTAATTTAAAAAAAAAGTAATTTTAACTCTGAAAGAAATGGATCTCTTATCGTTAAACAGTTAAAATGAAGATAACTTAAGCAAAGAATTACTAGATGTATTTTTTCCAGTTCCTTTAGTTTGCTGCCATTATTCATGTATATTCGACAATCAAATTAATCCGATTTTAAAATTTATTACACCAATGAAAAGCTTTGGATCTTAGCTTCATTACAGTATATACTTAAACATATTTTTGGCACAATTAACTAAAACCTACCGTATGTCAGATCATTTTACATACGATTTATACAGTGAGATACACAACCGGTTATCTACTGTGGTCTGCTATTTTGGAAAGTGCTTGTAGGTGTATTTCAAATCCATGAGAAAAATTGTTGTACCCTTGTTTGTTCACTTAAAATATTTATAAATTTGATACTCGTACTTGTGATGCATGTACCTTGACGCCATATTTGTATATATGTATATGTTTTGCAACATGGGTAAACTTGTAAAACTTGTATGAAATTTAAAGTTCATACGGTATCCCATACAATATCATAATTACCATCGTCGGATACCCACGTGTGATTAACATGTAACATAACATAAATGTTAAAGGTTCCACCGTGGTAATCCGACGATGCATCATTACTAGCATTATTTGAATGCAATTTGTACCTAGCTTAATTATCACAAATTCTTAACTCTTTTAACTTGCAAAGACAAAATTTAAGCGATTTAAAATGAAAGTTATTGATGATTTAAGACCTTCTAATCAGATTAATCTATTAATGAACCATATACATGTTCATAGGACAAATGGTTTTAAACAAAATGTATATAACATGTTTTGACCAAATCGCCATTCTCCCAAATGAGCCTTGCACAAACCAGAAAATTCAAGTGGTCCGACGGACCAGTGCATTTTAAAATTAGGTGGTCCTTGCCAAAATCAACGGACCACCGCTAATGTCGAGGTCTGTCAATGTGGTTACACCTTTTCACAAGTTTGATTATCTAGAAAATGTTTGATTTAATCAATGAAATTTCAATTTTACTGAAGAGATATAAATCTATCTAAATTATAACATGTCTATGTACATATCATATTATGAATATTACCTAAATAAAAATATTGAGAATAAACTAAACAACATTTTTATATATGAGCCGTGTCACGACAAAACCAACATAATGGGTTTGCGACCAGCATGGATCCAGACCAGCCTGCGCGGAAGCCTGCGCGGATGGTCTGATCAGGATCCATGCTGTTCGCTATCAGTTTCTCTACGTGTGATAGTGTTGGTAAGCGAACAGCATGGATCCTGATCAGACTGCCCGGATGCGCAGGCTGGTCTGGTTCCATGCTGGTCGCCAACGCACTATGTTGGTTTTGTCGTGACGCGGCTCATATAATCTATAATGTTATTTATGTCAACATTTCAATTTGTTGCATCTTTGCCTGAAGAAGTTTTCTCTGTTTGATAATTTTCAAGAATAACAACTACACTTTGAAATTGAAATGGCCATTTAATAATAAATGACGGAAAAACATATAATACAATGTTGATATGAAAGTGACCATAAAAACATTTATTTTGCAATAAATTAAATTTTATGTTGAATTGTTGAAATACCTGTTGTACGTGTAAAGTGACTTCGTTTTCGGGAAATATGCTCAATATTATTCTCCGTTATAGAATTGTGGAGTTTTATAAGTACACCTTCTATAATATAGTTATCTAAGTTATCTAATAATCAAGTCTTCACATCCTTCTATGGAAATGCTGAAAAAATATACTCACACGAGAAATATCCTTTTTATGTCAATGTATTACTTGTTTCTATATATAGCAACAGGTTTCCCCGTGACAATTGCATCATAAATGGTGAAAGGGAATTCCAGAAAACGCCAGGACCGGTCGATACTTATACATCTTTAATGAGTTTAGCGAGACACGTATTAGTGGAAAAGAATTTAAAATAGCGATTATAAATACATTATATTTTTAATTAGGTGTCGTCTTTTGTCACATGTTTAAATGTGGAGTGTTTAAACTTAGTAAATCATATATTCGAAACATTCAACACATTTTCTATATAAATTGAACGCCATGCTCGCTATTTCTTTTTTGTTGTTGTTGTTAATTATATATGTACAAAAGTAGAATATATACCTCAATATATACATCCGACTTTGCAATAAATCGTACTGTAGGGATTATGGTATTTTCACAGGGAAGTTTAAAACCAGTCATGTGATAACCTAGTATATCTTATATCATCATATATACATGTATATGTCAATGTTGATCTTCTCATGTGTATAGTGCAACAGCTTTCATTTCATTGTTAAACAAGCTAGCTTCTGAAACTATTGCTATGACAATGTAAATGTCATTTTTAACTCTGTAGTTGTTGAGGCTGCTAAAAATGACGGCGAGGTCGGCAATTTTTTTATTATTAAGTGACTCCATCGCAGGGACCTTTCACGTGGCCTGCTTCCCAATTTTGAAAAGGTAAGTTATGACTTATACCGGTATTTTGACGTCAGTTGGTACTAGCTTTCTCCTGTTACCGGTACGTTGAACCTGATGTTCATTTCTTCCCTCCCATATACCTTTTGTATATCAGTATAGTCCTAATAGAAATAAATGAAAGTGACATTATGCCTATCTAGGTGTAAATATGAAAATAAAAGTAACTTTGCATTTTGACATTTTATGATTTACTTACAAAGAATAACACACATGACAAACGGACAGTTATACTCGTATAATTATAGTTCAGAATGTATACGTAACGTTCAAAGGGAGGGGCAGTCTTTTCATAACATGGGTTGTTTTATATTGTATCATAAACATGTTTCATTATCAATTATTTGTCAATTATTAAAATATTTATTAAAATTATAACTAATACAACTCACAATGACAGCGAAAAATAATGAGCATAATGTCACTTTAACTCATTTTCTTCTTTTTTTATCAAATGCAAACTACACGTAAATATATTTAATCATGTTTAAATTTAATCTACTAGTAATACGATCATAACATGAAACGTCGTCTAATGGGTAGTACTTTTGTTTTATCATTGACCTTATAATTACTACGACACATATTATGATGGTTATTATGATAATATACATATTTAATACAATTATATAACAGTTATGTATTGTATGTTATTTATCTCTACATGTAGATCAGTGACAGTTTTTAAACTTTATCATGTAGATTATCTATGAGGTAAATTGATATAGAGCGTTTAATGGGTGATAATATTTTCATTTAAACTGTCAAGTTGTCATCAGATTCAAATGTCAGGGACATTATCTTAGAAAATAAACTCTCTTAATCTGAAGTAAATCCAGTCATCGAAAATAAATTCTAATTGTGTGTTTATGTAATAACTTAAGTACTTATTCTGATTATAACCCATGGTCCGATCACTTCACTTCTAACTTAACAAATCTAGTTTTGTAACATCCGCTACACCGCAAACTATTCAGCTCCACAAAACTGCTAAAAACTAGTATTAGATGATATCTAAAATTAGTTAATCAAACTGACAGTAACTTCTCTCGTACATTTAACTGACAATCAGCGTGTGTAATTTCTCCCATGGAGCATTTAACGCACATCCACAGCTAACTGAAACAAGGGTGTGTATTCACTCCTATGGAGAGCACAAAGCTATACAGTCGCATCTCCAAATCATTTAACTGAAACCAGGATGGGCTTTCTCTCCATGGAGCATTTAGCGCACAGCCAAAGCTATACGGTCAGCGTTGGACTGTGAAACAGACGGCCCAGGTTCGATTCCCGGTCGGTTCAGGTCATTTACGTTGTGATTGATCATGAAATCCTTTCAACGGTCATTCGCATTGTACCTCAGCTCTAGCATGTGCAGAAGTTATCCATGCGAAAGTGAAGGCAACAAGTACTGGTAAACTGATTGACAATCTTCCCAGGAATGATGCACTTACTGAACTGTATTCTGTCAAATTCAAATCTTTTTATACAACTCGACTTTTGCTAAGCATCGATAGTTGCTCACTGTTTTATGAAAGTATAAAATGGATTCAATACTATAGAAGTTGGATTCAGCAAGGGTTTGCAACCTGAATGCAAGATGTTTTGTCATCATGTGGCCACAGAAAGTATGCACTCCTTGTTTTCTTTAAGAGATTACTGTTATTATAAACAGATATATCAAATGTTTGATCATTCAAGTCAGACTTTTTTCCCCTTTTTAACAAGCAGAGATTGGTGGGTTGTAGGAGCAGGGGAGCACACAATATGAGGATGGTGAGACGCTTGGTGTACACTTCACCAGTAGTAATTCATCTACACTCCCTTCAAACAATACCATACATGAAATAAGTTATACATGTAGTTTGTTGTGCTGTACAAACAACACCGTTTATTTCACTAGATATATACATGATATAAATATATAAATAATGATATAAAAATTTCACCAAACATATACACATGTAGACAAATAGACAACATAATTTTTGCATAAGCCATATCAACACTGACATCAACATTGTTATTTTATGTGGTTTATTATATCAGGCATGGGCTAACGTGTCAACATTGTTGTGCTGCATTTCTTATTGGACACCTGCATGCAAAACAAAATTTGCCGTGCGGTTTTTGACTTATGAACACTATTTTGAATATAAAAATAAAACATTACATGAGCCCTTTTTCAGAAATAAGAAAACTTTAAAATAATCTTTAATATCATCCTTATAAAACATGTTATTCCTATTCAATGTTGTAACAAAAGCTAACAAGAGCACCGCTAGGCAGAGAATTATATGCCCGAAAGTGTGTAATTTTTTTTAGTAAGGATGAAGTAATTTTAAGACATGGGAATTAAATAAAGTATTACCTCCTTCAAATAGCAATCCTCCTATGAAGTTTGAATATTGTGGGCCAAATGGAACATAAGTTATGCTCTGGAAACTGTTTTCAGTTTTAAGGTAACAGTGACCTTGACCTTTGACTCCAAAATCAATAGAGGTGTTCTACCCAATATGGACAATCATCCTATGAAGTTTGAAAACTGTGGGCCAAATGGAACTTAAGTTATGCTCCGGCAATTGTTTTCAGCTTTAAAGTAGTGACCTTGACCTTTGACCTTGTGACCCCAAAATCAATAGGGGTGTTCTACTCAATATGGACAATCATCCTATGAAGTTTGAACACTGTTGGCCAAATGGAACTTAAGCTATGCTCCGGAAACTGTTTTCAGTTTTAAGGTAATAGTGACCCCAAAATCAATAGGGGTCTTCTACCCAAAATGGACAAACATCCTATGAAGTTTGAACTCTGTGGGCCAAATGGAACTTAAGTTATGCTCCAGAAACCAAATTGCTAACAGACGGACGCCAGGGGGTATAACATAATATGCCCGAAATTCTTTCAGGCATATAAAAATATGAAATTCGAAATTCTTGCATAGATAAAGAGATTCACTTAAAAATTGGAAAACCTTCAAACATTATAATATACTCAGAGTTAAAATTGATATTTTGCACAATTTTTAACCTGGTCCTGATTGGGTAAAAGTGATGCAATGCTTTCATGTTTTGGACATTTTGCACAATATGAATACATTGTAATTATTCTGTGAAAACTATGATATGAAATTTTGCACAAAAGTTATTATACCAGAGTGAGACCTAAATCAAATGATACACTAGTGTCAAAAAATATTTCCATTCCCTTTAAGAAAAACAAAATAAAGCTAAGTCAACAAACCACATAAGCTAAATGATTGTTTCTAGTCATAATGTTTGAAACCTGTATAATACAGTAACACACATTTTAAACGCTTGGTTTAAAATTTTCTTGCTAACATTGCCTCATTAAAAATGTCCCTTAATTGAAATCTATAGGCTGAAAAAATAAAGAAAATAAGTTGGCCCTACTCGGGTTTGAGCCTAATACCCTTAGTTTCAATGCAGTTGACAGTTATTGTAGTGTTTCTAAAAACCCTTCAAAGTATAGGCAGTGCATTAAAAGAATGCTTCCTAAATAGTATAATGTCCATTGTGGGATTTAAACTAACAACTTATAAGATCAAAGTGATTCACTCAGCCTGGGTACAAACACATACTTCAACATTGTTAAAATAAAGTTGCAAACTTCATTACAAAATCTTGAACTATATAACTAATGACTTGTTACTGTACACATGTGTTGTTCAACAAATACTGGCATACAATGATTATACAATAACATGAAATAGTTGTTAACAACTCTATCAATCAAAATGATATCTTTAAGATTGGTATCAAGAAAGTGTCACCAATATCACATCTATGTTTAAATATTAAACATTACATGATACAATAGATGATACAATACATTATCACATAAACGGTGCGCGGGAGTGTAATAAAGCCATGTAATAAAAACGATATTAGACTATAGTGTAATAACATTTTGATGTGACGTCATTTGCGCTATATATAAACATAGCGTTAAATAAAGCGCGCTAATGTTAGCATTATACTATAAGCATGTCAATGAAAAATGACTCTTTTTAACAGTTTACCGTTCTTATCTTATATATGTGATAAATAGAATATTATCTTCGTGTCAATTCAATACTAAATTTATTGAACTCGAATTAAACAATATTATGCTCGCCAGAGGCTCACATAATATGATTTTATTCAACTTGTTCAATACATTTAGTATTAAACCTACACTCATTGAATATCTTCTATTTATGTTGATTAAAATCACATTTTTGTTATCAACATCATAGTAACATATGACATATGTAATCTAGATCTCTATTAAAGGTGCATGCCTCCAGACGAGCCAAAATATTTCAAGAAAAACAAACTCAAGAAAAATGAACTGAGCTTTAAAGAAAAGTAAAAAGATTCAAGATAAAAGTAAAAAATTTCCATATTTTTCACCATATTTCTACTGCAAAAGGGCTATTTTTGCACATTTTGACTAATTTTTTTTGGTAATTTACATTGGTTGTAAGTGCCATTTGCAATGTGCAAATTATTTTTATGTTCACTACACAATATTTTATTTTTTAAATATATTTTCAAAATTTTAATGAAAATTAGCATGAATCTGGAAGCGCGCTCCTTTAACAATAACATTAAATATTTATTGATTTCTTCAAATTCATGGTTTGAAATCAATTGCAATAATCTTTTACAATGAGTATGGAAAGTTCACTGATATATCAAAAACACATCACAACATAGTTTACAACAAGACATGTATATATTATATGAGCCGTGCCATGACAAAACCAACATAGTGCGTTTGCCACCAGCATGGATCCAGACCAGACTGCGCATCCGCACAGTCTGATCAGGATCCATGCTGTTCGCTTACAAACTCTATAACAAGTAGAGAAACTGATAGCGAACAGCATGGATCCTGATCAGACTGCACGGATGCGCAGTCTGGTCTGGATCCATGCTGGTCGCAAATGCATTATGTTGGTTTTGTCATGATGCAGCTCAAATTAGGACTGAATAAACGCTGGTCTAATTTCATTTTTATATTGTCAATATAAGAGAAGATAATTTCACTCTGTGGTTATCCAATACAGTTGATTTGTTGTTGAATCAAACTCCAAATAACATCCTCAGATCTGCTAATGTAAGTTTGTTCTTGTTCATTGCTCCCCTGAAAACAACACCAATAGATATGTATAGGGTAAATGATAAACTGGTTTATGTATATATGTTTGTTAAAGGAAAGTGTTTGTTTTGTTGGGTATTAAAGTCACAGTGACACTGTTAAAGCCACATGCCTCTAGATGAGTCAAATATTTCAATAAAATCAATATTGAGAAAAATGTACTCAGATGTAAGGAAAAATAAAAAGATGCAAGTAATATTTTACATATAATTTGCGATTAATGACTGATTTTTGCAGTATTTATAACTATATGTCTACTGCGTAATCAACGCAGTAAAGACTTTTTATGAATATTTTGACCACTTTTTGGTAATTTATTTCGTTTGTAAGTGCCATTGATGATTGTGACTTCCTTCCTTTTGGGGACTTCACAATATTACACATGCAAATGCATTTTCAAAATTTTAATGAAAATTAGCATGAATCTGGAGGCGTGCTGCTTTTAGGTGTTATAGTGACTTTCTGGCTTTACTGGTAGAGGAAGACCTCAGGTATCCCTGCCTGTTTTATATCAGACACAAACTAGCAACTGAGTAGAATCATCAATCTGTTGTAAGTGTCTAAATAGCTTCCTTACAGGAAAGAATCCTAATTCCTAAATGTGACAGACGGACAGACAGACAGAGTATCCAATTGTGATCTTTATAAGTCGTGGCTACTTTGTAGCATGTATCAGCTATTGTGTAGCAGGCGTCACAAAAATCCTTTGTTACTAATCATTCCTGTAAAGTTTGGATGAAATTGCACCAGTAGTTTCTGAGTAGTATCGATAAATCTTAAGAGAGACAGAAATATAACAGACATATGACGCAGGCAACACAAAAATCAAGTTTAAGAAAAGTAAGTTATGTATACCCAGTAAGAACACTTTTAGCTAAATCTGTTTTCCTTTTCTGTAATTGCTGTATCTTTTCTTCCACAGTTTCTTTACATAAAAATCTTTAAATAGATAAACATATAAAAATCTTCAAATAGATAGATAAACACATAAAAATCTTAGCAACAGATGAACACATTATTTTTGTAAAGTGACTTTACTCGTGTAGTGTTAAATTGTGTGTTACTATGGTAACAGTAACTGTCCCAGCTGTGATAATGACCGTATAGTTAGATATTGTTGTATATCACCAGATAAACAACAGAATAATAGCTTTATATAATTACAGAGACAATCTAAAACTCTTACTCTATTACAATTAGCTAATTTCAATTTAGAAAACTCCATTTTTTTGTAGATATTGACATTCAGCATGTGTATCAGCGGGAGAATATTTATTTTCTAGTTAATTGCCTTTATCACATTAACCAAACATTGCCCTATATTCTCTACAGAACACACCTTGTTTTGTTATTTCACTGAAACATATTTATTTATTTCAGATTTGGTATAACAATTACAACAGCTATTTTCAGATCTATGGTATTGTATTTGTATTGTTACATGAAGTGTATGTATTTTACCTGTGAATGTAGACATTTTTCTTTTGTCCTACTCGATAGATTCTGTCACAGGCCTGGTCCTCCAGAGCCGGGTTCCTGTAAAATATAAGGTCTAATATATAATATATCACAATATATAACAGCATTAATAACAATTAAATATCATACAATAATAATAATAACAATAATAAATAATCAACACAAAGAAATACTAGAAATGTGTCCATAGGACACGGATGCCCCCACTCTTCACTGTTTTTTCAATCTTATGACTCTAGGTCAAATATTTTTTGGGCTACATGTGCCACAAGTTGAAAAATAATATTTTACCAAGTCAAGGGCAGCAAATTTAGAAATACTAGATAAATCCCAGGTGCACAACTACACATGCTGACCCACATCCAACATTCCTATTAAGTTTCATGACTCTATGTTAAATACATTTTGAGCTCATACAACACTAATTGAAAATTGCAAAATTTTCACTAAGTCAAGGGCAGAAACTCTTACAAAACAGAAAAAATCATCAAGTGAAACCCAGGTGCACAACTTCACATGCTGAGCAACATTCCTGTAAAGTTTCATGACTCTAGGTCAAATACTTTTCGAGCTACATGCGACACAAAATGAGAATTTTTGCAACAGAGCTATTTCATGTTTGGAGGCAAAGACTTATTTTTTGTTTGTTTTTTTTTATTAATTTTACCGAGGATGCTGAAGGCATTGCATTTTCTTACTAACTACTAGCATATTTTTTTGTTGTTGCTAATTTGCTAAACAGCCTGCTTATAAATTTTGTCAAAAACCACATTAAATAACAGGAAAATAATGTGAGTGTTCCAATAGTGCTGTCTCTTGATATTCAAATGTGAATTTAATTAACTTACTAACATTAATTTAATAAATTATATATTTAAAATAAAAATTCTACAAAAAAACATTCAAGTTTTAACTTGCTCAACGTCTGGTCATTTCTGTGAATTTGATTTTTTTTCTGTTTGTATAATTATTCATTAAAAAAAATAATGCCATATTTGAAATTGAAAATCATAATTCATTTTTTTGTTTTTTTAAATGACTCAGAATATGTTTTAAATTGATTCAAGAGAAATCTGCACGTAAAAATGTACATGGCTGTTTAAATCTAACATGATTTTACAAGCTAAAATTATGTTTTTTACACATTTATTTTTTGTGATATCCCAACAAAAATATATAACAAGATGTTTGAAAGTAAATCTCTATTCCTGTTTACAAGTATTACATTTCTTACATTACTTTTATCTGTATCACAGTATGTCCCAAAAGGTAACAACCAAACTATCATAGAGCTGTCATTGATTCATAGCAAAGCATATTGACGATACATCGATATCAGATGATAAATATCACCAATACACGATATATCGATATATACTCAAATTTCTTGAATTACTTGTTTAAATGATTTTAGTAAAATATATGTTCATAATATTGTTGTATAGTATGTTGTGTCCTGTTTATAAATGTCCTTGGAATGATTTTTACCTAACCATTTTTTGTCATTACTTGTATGAAATGTGTCCATTATGTTTAGTGTTTCACATGGCCTACTACTTTTGTATATGTTTAAGGTGAATTTTCATAATTCATTGACATTATAATAATTAATCAAAATTATCGATTTTTAAAAACGTGTATGGATTATTGATCGACAGAAAAATATCAACGATGCATTGATATCGTCTCAATCGATGACAGCTCTTAACTATCATTTTGTAGGGGTCCTGCAGGATTTTTTGGTCTGATAAATCTCACCAGTGTAACAATAAAAGTTTTACTTTTTATGACAAGAAATAGCTAAAAGAGATATTGATGTATTAAAGATATTATGTTAAAACTTGCTAGTTACCAATAAAACATTTTACATTGATTGATCAATATATGACAACAAAGAATCAAATTTACATGAAATGGTTGTTAGGCTTCAACAACACCTATGTTAGTGGGTGATTGCAGCATTTTTACGTATTTTATTCAAAAACATCAACAGTCCTATATTTGATTATCTAGTTTTAAAATATGTGTCAACTTTGTAGATATCTATCAGTTCATTGAACTGCTATAAGTTATTTAGTTATTGATGTAGGCCAGTGTAACTATGCTAATTTCAGTGATCATATCACATAGTATAGATTAATAGCTGCTATAAATTTGAACCAGTTTTCAATTTTCAACAATACAATACAATAATTTAGTAGTAAATTAAGTTTCACTATCTAAATAGTGGTATATCAATTAAACAATCTAAATGTACAGCATATTTGTCTATTATCTTGACTATAACAGTCAATCAAGTACCTGATTCATCTCCAATATGACTTTCCCCGTTCTATTCTAGATAAAATTTATTTCAATGTTTGCCATATAAATACTTTTAGAGATTGTACTTTAATGATAATGTTGCATGTAAAACACAATAAAAGTGATTTAGAGAACTGGTAACATTGACAGATGAGTAATGTTAGTGTATTTTAGAAGTTAATATTCCAACTTGAAAACCACAAAAATCTAAATGCCTTCGTATCACATGAAAGTATGAGCCCTCTGTTTGTAATAAAACTGACAATAAAACCAGTCAACATTGAACTTCACCTCCAATATCTGCTGAAATCATTTCCTAAACTAGATGGAAAAAACCTCCTGAAACTCACTAATCATCAAATTAGATACATGTAATTGTAATTTTGCTGCAGTAATTATGCCCAGTTGTGTTATTAACTGAATAATTTATCTAACATAGCATGATAGTTCACAATAAATCACGTTAAAATTCTCAGCATGGAATTACATCTTATTCTGCTATGTGTTTTAATCTAGAACATTTCTCTTTCTTTCCCCTAACGTTTATAACATTATATAATTGTTAATACAATAATGTTACAGATAAGGTGTTTTTATTGGCTTTCCGCTCATTCTCAATAAAACACAGCATTTCATGTTCCACTGGGTAGCTCTTATACAAAGGTTTTTCTTGAGGTCAAAATGTCGTTAGAAAGGTGGCTGCCACTTTGTCTAATAGGGACACTCTCAGTTTTACATATCTATCTGTTATTTTTCTTTTACAAGTACCATTAATGCCCTAAAGTGTAACATACGTTACTGTCGCCACCTAGAATTTTCAACTTTGAAATTGTGTTTTAGAAAATAATATCCAGAATAAACGAAACATGTGCAATTAGTCATTGCTGTGTGTATATGAACTTTGATTATTGGTAAAAATTATATTTGACTGTTAAAATCTCATTGATATAATGGATGATCAAATGTCGCCAAATGCATATAAATAAATAGTGACAAACCTAAAACAATAATAAGTGGAACCGAAATTACATAATTGAATCGATGCATGCTTAATAATATAGCATATATATAATTAAAAGTAAAAATAAGCTTGCAGCCTCTAAAATATCATTATATTTTCGGAGATTTTCATTTTTTATTCAAATTTTTTCAACAGCATTTTAAAAAGAAACATACGTTACCATTATTTAAGAGCCAATCCATTCAAAGAAGAATCCAAACAAGAAAGAAAACAAGAAACATGGCAATGCCATGAAACCAGGTTTTCAATTATCACCATTGTAGATAAATATGTTGTATTTGAAATACAAATACAAGCAACAAACAATGTAACTATGTGCAATGTAATACATGAATAATGTAGGAGGAATTGCCACAGAGGAAGTGTTCACTATAATTATATTCTGTATAAGGAAAAAAAAACAAAGGGCCATAATTAAATAAAAAATTATTCAATCACAAAACCCCGACAATATGCACCAGGGCACTGGATGACAAAGCCTTTGTGAAAGTTTGGTCAAAATCTGTTGAGAAATGTAGAAGAAGTTGCGCATAGTAAAAATTGTTCACTATATAATCTGTATAAGGAAAAAAAACAAAGGGCCATAATTAGGTCAAATATTATACAATGACAAAACCCTGACAATATGCCCTAAGGCACTTGATGACAAAGCCTCTGTGAAAGTTTGGTCAAATTCCGTTGAGAAATGTAGGAGGAGTTGCGCACAGAAAATTGTTCACTATATATCCTATATTGGGAAAAAAAACAAAGGGCCATAATTAGGTCAAATATTATTCAATCACAAAACCCCGACATTATGCACCAGGCCACTAGATGACAAAGCCTCTGTGAAAGTTTGGTCAAAATCCATTGATAAATGTAGGAACAGTTGGGCACAGAAGAAATTATTCACTATATATTCTATATAAGGAAAAAAAAACAAAGGGCCATAATTAGGTCAAATTTTATCCAATCACAAAACCCCGACAATATGCGCCAGGTCACTTGATGACAAAGCTTCTGTGAAAGTTTGGTCAAAATCCGTTGAAAAATGTAGGAGGAGTTGCGCACAGAAGAAATTGTTTACGTCCGCCCGTCCGCCCGCCCGCCGACATACCTCAATCTAATAACCAGTTTTTTCCTTCGGAAAACCTGGTTAATTAACATGTGTGTAACTCTGATATATTAACCACAAATTATGGCGGGTTAAACGGTCTTGCGTCATTTATTAACCCACTTTCAATGTAAAAATGAAACATACGTTACAGAAACATACGTTATTCAACTTTTAAAGTAAGTTTATCAAAAAGGAAATTGAAGTCAGAAAGCACGTTATAACAGCAACATTAACTTCTATTTGACATTATTTAGTAAATTTTTGATAACTTTGGTCGAGTTTAACTTGTTTAAGTAACCACAGTGAAACAACGTTACTTTTATCAAACAGCCTTTATATTGTTTACACATGCATATATAAAAACATAAAATCACATTTTTATGACAATAGAATGATGTACATTTGATTCCTAAATAAAAAAGTCGATTTTACATGTAAGTTTCAATTCAGTGATCAAGTTCATAAATAAGCGAGTGTGAAACATACGTTACTCCAACTTACAATTCAACAATTTTTGAAAATTAAAGATAAAGTTGGGATTATCATGCTTGTTATTAACGGTTACCTTGTATTAGATGTAAGAATATACAAAATTGTTTTTACAAAGGAAAGCTATTTAATAATATGTTGATGTTCCAGCTGAAATGTTAAAAATATTTTACAAGAGATTGATGTTCTCAGCAACAACTAATTCGTTTCTGCAAAGAGCTTACTGGCCGTATTTCATTCTATATATAATAATGTTAAAATAATATCCATAAATATAATTTATTTTACAAAAAATAAAATTGTTTTCTCAACCTTTACTTGCATTTGAATAAAATGAAACATACGTGACATTCTGTATGGGGTTGAATATAGAACTGCGTAGCAATAAATTTTCCAAATATTAAGAAAGTTGAAAAGTTGAATGCTTTGAAAAAAAAAAATGCTACTACAAACATTTGTGTATGCATTCGACCTCTCATATATTATATATGATATATATCCTTTGAATGAAAGACATAAAATAATCATTTCCAAAATTGACTATTTTTGCTTTCTACGAAATATTTTTAACTTTGAAGAAATTAAACTGAAAATTAGCAAGGTACCCCAACTTCCTTGAATTTTCCTGGGTTAGAAAGTCCCTCTAGATAGAGAATTTTCAGATTTTGATATATTGTACAGACATTTGTTGTTAATATGCAGCCAATATGTTAAATTATTAGATCTGAAATCTACGTTACCGAAGCAATACAGTGTTATTACCGAAATAAATGCCATCCTGTTATATCATAGTTTCTTGTTCAAAATATTTCTGGCAAACTTGCATAATACCATAAACTTTTACTTCAGCGATAAAAAATGACACAATGACAACATCAAATTTTTAATATTTTTCAACCTCAAATGCTTTATTTTATTGAGAATGGGCGTTTCAAGGGCAGCAGTATGTATTTAGATACTAAGTATATGTGTTAATGAAACATTGTGTATATGTTTATGATACTATGTTTTTATGTGTTCATGTTGATGATAATATGTTTATGTGTTCATAACACTAGGTTTATATGTGTTCATGGTACTATATTTATATGTGTTCTTAATATTATGTTTGTATGTGTTCACAATACTTTGTATGTGTTTATTTGTACCTATGAAACATTGTTTAAAAACAAGATACATCATATATAACATATATATTTTAATTACCAGTGACTATCTAACAGAAAGAGATGATTTCCACCAATCAGGTTAAGACCACACCCTCCAGCACGTAGCGACACGAGCATCACCTCGGGACCGTCCGCATCATTGTTGAACCGATCTACAGCCTCCATTCTTTTCTTGGCTGGTATATTACCTTGTATAACTGAACATCGTATCTTTAGTTTCTGTAGATGAACAGCTACAATATCCAACATCTTTGTCCATTGTGATACCACCACACTGTAATGTATATAATCTGTTTGTGTTGATTACAGCCAATTAAACCTTACATTATAGACAAATTCTATAACATAATTAGATAGCAACTCAATTATTGCTTATAATGGTTGATATGTACCTATCAGAGTAGATATGGATGTATTTGTAAGATCACATAAGATAATACCTAAACTGTTGATATATTATTTCAATGTTCGCTACTTTCCAGGATTCTAATTGAAATATTTTTACATGTAATCTGTAATAATTATCCTGCTACAATGTATGTTAATATATTTCCAGTGAGAGTGAAGAACAAATTATAACAAGCACGGAGATACTGATAAAATATCAACATATTTAACTTCACGGCCCTCATTTTTATGATTTTTGGGGACAAAATCATGCCCCTTCCAATTAACATATATATCTCCTACCTAAGGGACTGATTCACCTTGAGTTAATTAGGGACCTGAACATTGAAATAGAAAATACTTTAATTTTTTAGCTTAAGTCATTTAATGCTGACTTTCTTTGTTCCCTGGTTGCCATAGTTACAGGAAATTCACTTGAAAAAAGTTCATAAATGATTGAAGCTATTCACCTTTTACATTTATCTTTTGACTTTGTTGGTCTGTGAATTTCCTTCAGCTCGTTCATCAATGCCTGCATCTAATGAAATATTGAAAATATCAAAATAAAACAACAGTCACTACATCAATGCCTGCAGTAAGTGAAATATAGAAAATATTACAATAAAAATAAAACAGTCAAAAGATCAATGTTCATTGATATTTTGTTAAGATGGTTCCTTCAAGAAATCTATATTTACAAATATATTAGAACAATGATGCAGTTTGGTGATTATATTTGTCATAACAAACTGTAAATCCAACAGCATTCATGAGAAATCTCAAGCTGCCATTAAATTTAGACACACAAAAATACAAAAATTCTAAGGTGAGACATACAGATAAATGTAAAATTGCAAGTGATTATACCTTAGTACTGAGTGCCTCTTTTTCAAATAATTGTGATGATTTTTTCACAGTTGGTTGTTTGTCTGTATCATCATTCAGCATTAGGTCCATCATTTGTTCCTCTAATGTCATCTCTAGTCCCTCATTCTCCTGTGTCTCTTCATCTACAGCCTTATATATAATAAACACATGCTATATAGAGGATATTTGTTTAGTTCAGAATAAGATCGCAATATATTTCACCTAGTGAGCACCAAAAGGTATATTTCATGAGTGGCGCAGCCTTGAGTGAAATATGAACTTTTAGTGTTCACAAGGTGAAATATATTCCAAATAATAATACAATGTGAAGTCAATTACGATGTCACATCATTAAGTTGGTTTCCAGGACTGTGCACACTGGTATTTTACTGAAACAACGTAAGGGGCTTAAATTCAAAACAGTGAAATTATCAAATTGATAACTTCACTGTTTCAAACTGTGAAATTATCAGTTTTATATTTCACTGATATATTTCTATAAACCACCGGAAAACATGTAATAAAGATACAGTTTAATATACACAGCCTATACATAATATACACATTGCTAAACACATGGTATGAAGTCAGCAAACTTTAACAAATTTCTTTCTTAAACAGAAAGTTCTGTATTTAAAAGAATTTCTGTCAATATTAAACATCATGCCCATGGATTAATAAAAGTTAAATGACACTATAATATACACATTGTTCTAATTTTAAACACAGAATTTCACATGAAATACCACCACTGTGTAAGACAAAAAACAAATGTTGAAATCAGCTGAAATTTGTGCATGATGGATCAGGGGGCAAAGCACATGTATACTCTGAAAGTTTAACTGTTTTAAAAGGGCTCAACTTCATTTCTTTTAATATCTGGATATCATTTGTTAAATTCCTATTGAAATTTGAGAAATACCAGCAAGTTTAGTTTGCAAATATAAAATAGTAGCCACTTACATGTTTACATTACTATTAATATAAGTACACTTATTATATTGGGCACAGTATAAAGTTGCTCAACTTTTTATAGGTAGGTCACTGTTCACTAAATTAATTTTTCATCAGATTAACATTGATCTTAACAACTGTCCCCAAAATCATCAAACCTTCAGATGTTACACAAATCTACAGTAAATTTTAATGCATTATATAAAAAGTAACATCTGTTATATTGGGCAAATAAGAAACAAAATATCGGGAATTTAAATTTTTGACCCCGCTATAGTGAAATCATGTATATGCAAAAAAATTAGGGAATGCGGTTTTCGTGAAATAAAGATTTCACGAATATGAAGTGATTTACAGTAATGTGTATAGTATAATGTGGTATATAAATTGTTAACAGATTACAATGAAGGTATGAAATATGAACATGTATCAAAATGTACAGTATTTTTTTTTTACTTCTGCATCTTACGTTCTGAGTGAAATTAATTTGCCGTGGACACAAAGTTGCAAAAAATATATGTATTGTGGACAAATGCCTTCTCTTAGTTTGTAGTCCTGTCTCACAGGATAGAGGCCAAAAATACCAAACTGTGCGCAAAGTTTGTAGTTTACATAGGGCAGTCATTCTACTGACAGTTTTTTGCTGATTTTTTACACTGTAGATTGTTAGGAAATTGTCGAAAACATTTTTATAATTTTATACTTTCTGCATTAAAGAAAAAGACTTAATAAGTCTTAGGACCTGTTATGACAATTTTTTTTTAAAAATCACTGTATATTATATGTTAATAGATTACAATGAAATATTCAAGTTATCAAGTTATATTTACTTACATCTTTCATAAGACTAAGATGACAACAACACTGTCGTAACCGTAGCAACATGACTAGAATATGCTGTGCTGTTGGCTTGACACCAGTACTGGTTTCCCCAACAACTGACTGGGTTCCTGACGTACTAGAACCAGGTACCAGGCTAGATGGAGATTTCTTATCCATAAAAGGATTTGAAGATTTTGGTGAGACATAATCATCCTTTAACATTTCCTTATCTTCATGTCTCTTTAAATATTCCTTCAAAACAGACCTGGAAAAATATAGTTTATATAGTTTACAATAACAACATTTATCACATAAACCATGAAGCTAGATTGTAATAAAGCAATTTTCTAAAAAGGATATTACACTAGTGTAATAACACTTTGACGTGACATCATTTGCTTTATATACAAACATAGTATTAAAGCGTGCTAATGTTAGCTTTATCCTATAGGCATGTCAATGAAAAATGACTCTTTTTAACTGTGAATCATTCTTATTTTGGATATGTGATATAAAGAATATTATATTCGTGTAGATTCAATACTAAATCTATTGAACTCAATGAATTAAACAATATTATGCTCGCAGATAATTTTATTCAACTCGTTCAATAAATATAGTATTAAATCTACACTCATTCAATATGTTCTATATACAGGCATTCTCACTGATAATTGATATCAATGTATATGAAAGGGGAGTCTGTGGCTACATGGACTTCAAACCACTAGCCTAAATATAGATGCTTCTTAATAACCTACAGTCATGGCTATAAAGAAATTTAGGAAGATTCAAATGCTTTTTAGTGATTCAAAACTTACAAGGGCCACAAATTGAACAAGATGAAATATAACAAGTTATGAGACATAATTCTGTCTGTAAGTATAATCATTATAAATTAACAATATGATGTTTGAATCTTATAGATAAATTGTTTATTAAAATATAGCCCTGCCAGTCCTAACATGCAAAACATTAGTGAAAATTCTGAAATATCAAAACCAACTACATCAGGCCTGGTAGAATAGCCTTCAATATACTTTCATAAGTCAAGCAAAGAAAACACATTTTCAATAAAGTTGTAAAATTTTATTACAAAAAATTGATACTTAAGCTAAATTAAAAGGAATAAAATATTAATAACATCATTTTTACAGTTCAATATCACAAATTTCCACACACTTTAATCAGAACCAGTAACTGTATAATGGTATAAGAAACATAAACTGTGCAACAAGATACATTATATGTCCTGATTATTAGAATATACTGGTATATAAACTGTATCATTTACTGGTATTAACCCTTTACCTCAAATATATGTAAAATATACATACAACACACTTTGGATAACCCCCCAGGACTCAATTAGTGACCAAGTGTCCTATTAAGGCCCCAAACACTTTTCTTTGAGAAATGTTGTAAAAAAGTAATAACTTTTTTCGTCGCCAACCCTATCAGGAAATGTAAGATTGAGCATGCTGTTATAAAGGCTATGGTCTACTTAACATTAAATTTGTGCCAAGTTTCCTGACTACTGAAGCATCTTTATAGTTTCATCGCAATTTGAACTTGTAACAGGAGGCTTTTCAATGAAATGGGTTAAAATATACTGGTATAAGTTACCTTGACTGTGCAAACACTTTATCATATACTTGTCTCTCCTGCTCGGATAATTCTAGTTCATGTATTGTAGACATCTTCTCTGGTAAGGGAACCTACAATTGTATCATATTATATATGTTCCATTCATTCTATCATAATTAAATGCTTAATTTTTGCTACAATATCAATATACAGTATCATGTGAGTAACCAAGCACTTGCATGTGTGTTTGTAAAGGTTTGACATTTTAAACTATTTTTTATTTTGGTTGGGATTTACCACCATATTATTATAGTATGTCAACTTTCCAGCTTTACTGGTGGAGGAAGTCCTTTTGGTATCTATATAAAGAGGATATTTGTTTGTTTGTGTGTAAGATGAAATTTTATTTCATCAAGTGGGCTTTAAAAACAGTATTCTGTTTTTAAACTTCACGAGATGAAATAAAATTATATCTTACACAACAAACAAACAAATTTTCTTTTTATTTTATGCTAAAAAACAAGTTAAAACGAAATTTCCATAATATTAATGTAAATATTAAAATCTGTTTTCCCCATTGAGAGCCCCATTTAGTCGGAATTTCTCATTAAAAACAAGAAGTCTTGAGCTGAAAAATAAGTCCCACAATCAACGTTAAATGACAGTGATATTATTTATTTTGTTAAAAAAATATGAATGATCATTTGTTTTAATAATAAAAACAAACAATCCTTGTAGGAGAAAAATTCCAACCATCCATCCATATTTCTGTTACTTACTGCGAATTTATATTAGACCTGGCTTTGTTAAATGTAAGCGGCAGCCATTTTTTAAAGTTGTGTATTTTACGGGAGGAAAATAATTGTGTTTGATTCAGAGGGATATCATTTGGATTTGTCAGTCATACACCTTTTTAAAAGAAAGAAAAGATATTTGAGGATTGAAACAGACAAAAAATAAGTGTTGACATATGTGAAAACATGAAAAAAGCAGCTATGAAAATGAAAAACTAGGAACTTGCTCGGAAGTCTGGGTGGTTTACTTGTTCTACGAGCTGATAGCTGTCATTGCTTTTCAATTTTTCATAAAGCATACGGCAGTTATTGCTCGTAGGATACTTTAATATGCTCAAATGTCATCAAGAGCAGTTTGCATGTGGAAGGAATGTATTTTTCAGACTGTAAAAATGAAACAAACAATTTAGAGATGAAACTTGGTGATTGGAATTTGAATGAATAGAAGTAAGTTTTCTTCTTTTTATTACTTTTGAATTTAAGTTATTTATCAATTTCAGCTTTGCGTTTTCTTCAAACAGCCTGACATTGTCAGAATTGTTAACAAAAATAAAATTGAGGTACCCCATGGGAAAAATCTTAAAAAAAGTAGTTTCGGCATTGAAAAGTGTGAAATTATATTTTGATAATTTTCACTGTGAAATTATCAAATATAATTTTCACGGATAAATCAGTAATCCACTGAAAAGCATAATATAAAAAAGTTTATCTTCCATGTGTCATAACTCTAGAAATACTGATCACTTAGTTATGTCCCTTGTCCTACAGATGTGCCACAACAGCTCAACTTTTTCTTTGAAATGGAGCAGCTAAGCTAAAGTATTTTAAGTTGAAAAATATATATAACATTATTTGGATAATGGACATCGTATTTGATATCAAAATAAGGTTAACACTTGATTACTTTTCTTTAAACAATTACCAAATTAATATGATGTTAAGAATATATAAATATGACTAACCAGTGGTTTACCCTCGGCACAAGTTTGAGCTTTTGTCCTTCTCAGTAATAAACTTTTCACCAGTACATTCAGTCTGTTCTGTCCTGTAGCTGAAAGTTGTTAATAAGTAGAGTTAGTTACTACCGACACAAATTGAAATGAGTTTTATTAGCTACTAATTGTCTGAAGTTATGAAAACAGCTATATGTTGATAAAGACAAATAATACTGAATAAATTAAAATGTTAACCACCAGTCTGAAGTTTGTATTAATACGCTTGTTACTATATATAGTAACAAAATTGCCTATGATTTCAACTGATTATGAGTGTCACGTGACCTATAATGAGTTTGCGGCCCGGGGCCGAGAACTAGTTATCACCCCGCAGAATATGTGTATGTGCACAAACTGAAACAATGACGTCATATTTTACGTCATGAAACAGTTAACTGAAAAAGTGAAAGTAGGTTGACAGCACATCGTATTTAGTACAAACGCATTTTTGTTACTGTTGAAATTTGAAGAAATAATACGACAAATTCAATCCGAAAAAAAAATGAAAATAAAACTTGCTTCTTTCAACACACAAACAGTAAACATCTCCGTACAGAACACAAGAATTTCAACCAAAGAACTTCAAAGTAGATTTCTATTTGTTGTTGTTGTTGTTTTTTTGTTTTTTTTTTAAAAATGCTACTATTAGATCTACCAAGTGTATTAAAGACATTAATAACACGTCAGAGTAGGGCCGGAAGGTGATAATCGGCCCCTGAATGAATAATGGCCCTCGGGTCCATTATTCATTTTGCTGGCCGATTATCACCTTCCGGCCCTCTCCTGCGGTGTATTAACCTCTTATTATAATGATGCTGAAAATGTGAATCAAAGTTTTTTTGACAATTTGATCTTGTATCAATTTTGTTTTAGGTTGTTACTTTGACTTTGCATCCAAAATACCCACTTTCTAATCACATGTGTCAAAGTAGATTGGTACATAACAAAAATCAAATTTGCTAATCCCATACTACAAGCTATCTTATTAATTTCTCCTTATTACTTAAAACAAGAGGGCCATGATGGCCCTGAGTCGCTCACCAGAAACAACTGCTTTTCAGAGTTGGAAATTATCCATTGTCAATATTTTCTGATATTTAATTTGAGCATAGAACAAGTTTAAACAATAATTTGAAGAAATGCCATGACCTGGGGCATTTAATATGGAGGGGTGCATTTTATGCCAAAATTACATCTTGCTTTTCTTACGTTACATCGTGCTTTCTAAACTTGTAATTGTTGACTTTTCTAACTTTGTACATTATGCAATTTCTGACATATACATCTTGCATTTCTGACTTTTAACATGTTTGCTTTCTTACATGGCAACATTATGCTTTTGCTGTGGTGCGACTTTTGTTAAAATTTTATGTTGATTGTCGTTTTTAACGATCAATTATTTTTCATTTGGTTGATCTGGTTATATTATTCAATAAATTAACCTTGCAACTGTTTGTATTTGGGTCTATTTTACTCAGCTTGAATGACGAAATGTCATTTAAGCAAGAATGCGCTAGCCGAAAAGCCGAATGCAGCAAGCATTTAATACAACGCGACATCTGGGTGTAATTAATATGTTGACACCCAAATTATTGCTAACAGGTTTGGCCGCTACGTTATATTTTTCTTTTTTGGCGGGTTAGAAAAATTTTTGGGGAAAAGAATTTGTGATTTATTCCTCTTGCTTTTTAAAATTTGGGGCTTTTCTAACTTCTTTTGTGTGGTTTTGTGTTTTGCCTTATTTTACTGAAGCACTTTATGTAATTGCAACCCTTTTGTGTTTTAAAATCCCCCAAAATTTTTGTATTAAAGTTTAATTTTATCTTTTTAAAGATCAACGTTTTTTTTTGTTTTGTAATTTTTTTTTCTTTGATTTAAATTAATTTACCAAAGGTTAGTTTTTGTGTACCCCTTTAATTTTCCTTAAATTTTTACATTATGTCCAAAAAAATTTTTTTTTAAAATTAATTTTTGTTTCGATTTTATGCTTCAATAAAATTCACTGATTACAAAAATAATGCTTTTTTGGCTTGATAAAAAAGTTTAAACCCAACGATATTTTGCATGGGGGATCTTGGAGTAAGCAAAAAGCAGTTGCAATAAATTTTGTTCTATTTATGACAGCAGTTTTCGCTTTATCCGGGGAAATTCCCCTTTTTTCCGGTGTCCCCTATTTTTGGGCCTTTGGAGGAAAAAAAAGTTACGTCCCCTTTTACAGGGGCGTTTTTCAAAAACCCGTGTTTAAATTTTGGGGGACCGAAATGTTTAAAAAAAAATTTGGAAAACCCAAGGGAAAAAGATCCCACAGACAAAAAAATGCGTGTTTTTTTAAATTCCCCCCACTGTTTTAAAAAAAATTTTTGATTTCTCTAATTAAAAATCCCACAAGTGGGGGAAAATCAACCCCTTTTATTTAAAATTTTTTACATTTCTTTTTGGGGGGATGTGTAGGGCGTATGAGAAAAAGCGAAAATTTAATTTTAAGTACATTTTGCTTTAAAATTCGGGGGGCAAAGGTCTGCGTTTGTTTTTTTATTTTTTCTCATGTGACGAGGTATCATGTCCCTGGCCGGGGGTTTCTTTAAATTCCCTGACCCCGAGATAGTTAAACGTTGGGAACGAGATATATATTTGGCCCCGGTTTCTTAAATCGTGGCCCCGGTTAAATTTTAAATCGTGGGAAGAGATACTAAATCTGGGGGACGAGAGGTAAACGTTTGGAAAAAAGTTCCCATTGTCGTGGCCACGAAAAAATTTAGCGGTGGCCACGGAAAATTTAAACGTGCGGACGAATATTTGATAATTAATCAAAATTCACTATATTTAATTTTTTTTAAAAAGGATGCCCCCCTTTTTTTGTCCGTAAAAAATGTTTTATACAAGTTATTGATTTGTCAAAGATTTAGCGTCATGTGATGATTTCTGAACAATTATTAAAAAATTATTTAGATGTCATCTACGATCTTTTTAGGTTATATAAACTACAGCTTATTCTTTCTAAATCATTTCATCGATCAGACAATGATTTTACATGGAGTGTCATGTTTGTCTGACCCGTGACCTCTAACATCCTCATAGGATATCTACTGTCCATGGGCAATGTCCCCTACCCCAATAAAATAAACCAGGACTAAGTCCCTCTCAAATGTTAACAGGCCGTTGTACGTACAAAATGACCAATTCTATCATAGAATTATTCAACAAAGGGCTATAACTAAGTCAAAATTAATGTATGGTTTATTTGGCCTGATGATGCCTTAAGACATGTATCAAGTTCAAAGTGAACAACTTCAGTATTTTCAAAAAATTAATGTTGCACGTAAATCTTTAAACAGAAATTTTCTAAGTTTAGAAAATCATGGTGTAATCTGATTTAATTATTTCGTCTGCATGACACAGTAATCTCGTTCCCACGACTTAAACGATCTAGTAACTCGTTGCCACGACTTAGTAGTTAGTACAGTACAAACTTGATTTTTTTCTGTACAATAAAATAAATATAATTTGGCTTCATACAAATATTGTGCTTTCAATCCTTTACACTGTAAGTGGGCAGTATGAATATACATTCGTAAACGTATAGTGTTATTACAAAAAAATATATATTATGGAAGTTTCTTTTAAAGACAGACACAACTTTACTTGACCCGTAATAAGGAAAGCAGATTCCTATACATTATGTGTATGTGTTTTTGTATTTTCTGATCGCAAGATCAGTAAATACATAGCTAACATCCACGGTCTAACACAAAATTTCCTCACAGACCTAACAACGCAAAGTAGTTCTCACTCAAAACTGCTTAAAAACCAGCAATTTAAAGAAATAATAATTTTTAATGTAGGCATTGAACGAATTACAGTGCATTAAAAGTTTACATTAGTCAATAGAAATATTAAGTTACAATCACAAATTTCGCGGATGAATATCTCTTTTACCCAATGAAAAATGTTCCACTATTTCCGTAAAGCTTAATCAATGAAAATGCTATTTTTAGCTATGTCGATTACCGAATACTCCAGAGCGTAGCACACAAATAAATCTGACTGTCGAGTAATGGAATATATACATGTCGGACTGTTTTGGCAAGAAGATTTTCGCTAAATTATTTTCATCAGTGTTTAACAAACAGGTTTATCGTGAACAAAATACCTCGAAATAAATAAGGATTACAAATACGAAATGAAAATTCTCAATTTTAGAATTACAATATATTTGTTTTTATTCACGCTACATACGTATTACTTCACTGTGGTGCAGAGGTAGCGCGCTCATTTAGGGTGTGAGAGGCCTGAGGTTAAAATCCTTGTCGAGGCAACATTTTTTTTGAAGTGGCTTTTTTAAGGAAGTTGCCACAATATGCAAGGATAAAGTGTGGCTGTAATAAAAAATGAAAAATGATTTTTGATGCAACTCTAAGCATGCAAAATTCCATATGAATCAATCACAAACTGCATGTTAAACGCAGTCCCTGCGTAAGATGAATAATAGTATATGAAATAAACTTATACAGGAAAGATCAGAAAATACCACAGAGCATGCAGCCCTTTGATTATTTAAAAAAAACATATTTAGTAAGAATTTTATAGATTTCAATAAATTTCTGTGATAAAATATGTTACTGAAAGATGTGCATAGTATATCATTAAGCTCAAATGTATGTGAATGTGGTGGTGTGTGCGGGATGTCTGATCTATAATCAGACACACATATGCCCCAACATTTGAGCCGCGTCACGACAAAACCAACAGAATGGGTTTGCGACCAACATGGATCCAGACCAGCATGCGCGTCCGCACAGTCTGATCAGGATCCATGATGTTCGCTTTCCAACTCATTTACAAGTAGAAGAACTGGTAGCGAACAGCCTGGATCCTGATCAGACTGCGCGGACGTGCAGGCTGGTCTGGATCCAATGCTGGTCGCAAACCCATTATGTTGGTTTTGTTGTGACGCGACTCATTTGTAATTGACTATGCACATGTTACAAAATAAACAAACTTCCTTCTTTCCTTATTATACATGTATATTTTAATGCGTTACATAACCTTTTTCGCC